AAATCACAAAAAAGCACCATAAAAATAATAAAAAAATAATAAAAACTCCCACAAAACTCCACCCAGGCCCCAGCCCTTCCTTTGTGTGGTGCTGGGGCTGTCTGCAAACCCACCCCTGTCTCTCTACTGTGGTGGAGCCCATCTGTGTGCACCCGCTCCCTGCTGCCCCCAGGCTTGCTCTTCCTTTTAACACCCATTAGCAGAAGGAATCGCTTTGGAAGCAGCATCTGTGCTCTGGCTGCAAGCACTGAGTATGAGAGCCTGGCTGCAGGTACCTGGTGTGTCCTCTGTGCTGGTCCTGAGCAGAGTTGCTGCTTTGGCTCCTCTGCAGCAAAGGGCTTCAGCAAGTCCCGTCTTGTCCACCCTGGCTGAGGGCAGCACGAGGGGCACCGGGGCTCTCATAGAATCAGCATGGGGAAGGGCTTAAAGGTACAGCTCTTCCCAGCACTGCCAAGGTCACCATTAAACCATGGCATGGAGGGTCCCATCTGCATGGTTTGTGAACGCTTCCAGGGATGCTGATTCCACCCCTGCCCTGGGCAGCCTGTTCCAATGCCTGGGCATCCTTTGAGGAAGGAGTTGTTCCTGATGGATGTCCCATCTAAACCTCCCCTGGTGCAGCTTGAGGCTGTTTCCACTTACCCTGTCACTTGTTTCTAGGGAGAAGAGACCAACCCCACCTCACTCCATTCCCTTTCAGGCAGTTGTAGAGAGTGGTGAGATCCCCCTGAGCCTTCTCCAGACTAAACCCCCCAGGTCCCTCAGCATTCCCCATCACACCTGTGCTCCAGGCCCTTCTCTGGTCCCACTCCAGCACCTCAATGTCCCTCCTGTAGTGAGGGGCTCAGAGCTGAACACAGGATTCGAGGTGCAGCCTCAGCAGTGCCCAGTGCACGGGGATGATCCTGGCCCTGCTGCCACACTATTGCTGGTACAGGCCAGGATGCTGTTGGCTGCCTGGGCACAAGCTGGCTTATGTGGCACCGCTGTGGTTAGGGTAGAGGGGAGCTTCAGCACATCCCCTGCATCCCCTTGCGTTTCTGGGGCCAGCCAGCCCCGTGTTGTGCCCCAGACTCGGGAGCTGGGCTCTGCTTATGGCTCTTCCATTCCACTTCCACCTCAGTGCATTGCTCCATGGCTCGTTTCCCTTCTCTGAAGGATGTGCCACTGCCGTCCTTGTTTGTGTTTCATGGGAGACAATTGGCTCTGTGCACAGGAGCAGGGTGGGGAGGCTGCATCCAGCCAGCCCTGAGCCTCTTTGGGGCAGCGTCTATGGGATGCACAGAGCAGTGCATCCACAGCGCTCTTGGCTTTCAGGGGTGGGAGGACCTGAGGGTGTCTGCGAAGGGATAAACACAGGTGGGGTGGCAGAAGGTGACCCCAAGCCTTGGGGCTGAGCCGGGAAGGAGAGCGCCCAGGTGGCAGAAGCTCCTGGCCCAGAGCCTGCTCCATCCAACCAGAGGGCAGAGCAGTGTCTGGATGGGGCTACCCACGAGAGGGGGCTTGCGTGTGGCAGTGGGGAGAAAAGAGTGGAATTGGGAGCACCGTGTTTAAATAGCGCCTCTGTGCTGGGGCGGAGGCTGGGCAGCCCCCGGGGAGGGTGCTCTGACCTACTTCAGAGCTCTGCTGTCCTCACACCACCTCTGCCTGAGAAGACACTGCTGCTCGCTGCGGGGGACTGACTCCAGCCATCGGCTATGGGGCAGCAGGGATGGGGATGGGGATGGGGATGGGGGTCTGGTGCCACCCTTCCCTGCACCAGCCCGTGCGGGACTGATTGGAAACTTGCACCTCAAGGGCTGCTTCCTGTTCCCACCAGATGCTGCCGCTGCTCCACCAGTGCAACCCCAGAAGATGCAGCTCCAGTTGGATGAGCTGGGAACCAGGCGCTTCCCAGCCACCCGGGAAGGGGAAGCTGCTGCTCTGCGCCCTGCAAGAGCTCCTCAGGACTCCCCATTGCAGCGAGTGGCCTCTTGTCCCTGCGGTTGGGACCGTCATCACCCAGGCAGTAAGATCCATCCCATCACCTGTCTGCTGTGGAGGTCGGGACAAGCAGGGCACGGGATGCTCTGTGATTCCATTCGGGGTGCGTGTCCCAGCTCCCCCAGCCCTGCTGCCTCCCCTGATGGCAGGTGCTGGTTACATCCAGCAGAAGGGCTGCAAACTCTGCTCTGTCTTCCCTGACACCCGTGGGGCGCGGTGGGGAGCAGTGGGGTGAGGGTGTCCACAGTGCCTGGAGCTCGGCCATGAGCCCCAGGAGAGCAACTGTCACCAGGGGCCACCCCCAGCACAGCCCCTGGTAGCTGCAGGGGCAGGAGCCTTCCATGCGCCCTCCTCTCCTGCCCAGTGCAGTGCTGAGGGGACTGGGGAGCCCCCAGAGGCACTGGGGAGAGAGGAAGGGGCTCTTGGCCGGATGGGGCTCAGAGGGTCCTGCCGCACTCCGAACCCTCCTGGCTCCTGCTAGCAGGGGGTGGGCAGCGTCCAGGCTGCTCTATGGACACCCCCTCGGCTATCCCTGTCACAGCGGCATCCCTTCTCCATGGATCCAGCTGCACGGATGTGCGCTCCCTATCGACATCCCCTGCCCCACGGGCATCCCATCCCCACGTGTGTTCCTGCTCCAAGGGGTTCTCCTCCATGAGCATCCCTGCCAGCCCCCGTCGCTGATCAGAGGAGGGGCCGTTCCCGCTGCTCTCTGCTGCGTGCGCTGCAGGGTCAGGTTTTGCTGCCGTGGTTTCACAGCCCTGAGCTCTCAGCCGGGGGGGGGGCAATGATGCAGGGCCCACACCTGGGGTTTGGCAGCCTCCTGGGGCACAGCGCCCGTGGGTATCGCTCCAGTCCCCTGCCCTTGTGCTGCTCCTAACTGGAGCCCAGGGACAAGCACATCCCGGGATGAGCAGGATGTTCCCCACCCACAGCTTGTGCTGCTGCCTCTCCCACGCGGGAAGAGCTCCATTCACCAGCCCCAGCCGCAGCACTCCCTGCCCACATCAGCACAGGGAGGCCACCGAGCCCCTGCTCCCAACCTCAGCTGTGCGTGGTCCCTGGCACTGGTGTTTGCGATGGCACCAGCACAGGGTGCCCGGAGAAGCTGTGGCTGCCCCATCCCTGGCAGTGCTCAAGGCCAGGTTGGACACAGGGGCTTGGAGCACCCTGCTCTAGTGGGAGGTGTCCCTGCCCCATGGCAGGCATTGGAACTGGGTGAGCTTTAAGGTCCCTTCCAACCCAAACCATTCCATGATCCACCCCCATCACACACACACACTCTCAAAGGAAGTGTATTTTTTAAAATACTTTATTTCTCTTCTTCTCTCAATACTGACATTACAAAAAAAAAAAAAAAGGAGGAAAAAAAAAAAGAAAAAATAAAATTACAAAAAGAAAGAAGCACTATAAAACATTCAGGTCTCATTGAAACCGAGAAAACCAAAGCAGCGCAGGCGCTGTCCCGTCTTCTCGCTCACGGTGTCCACCAGGCTTCTCTACCTCAAACTCCATAGGGGACCAGCGGTGGGGACCGGTGGCAGTGAAGGAAGGGGTGTCCTCAACCCGGCCCCATATGCACTTGTGGGGCTGTGCCCAGCCCCACGCTCACCCTCCTGCCCCACGGGACCCTGCTTGAAGTCATTGGGTTCAACCCTGTGAATACAAAACCCGTGTTCCCTGGGGTGGGGGGGATGCTTTGATGGGGGGGTTTCTCGTGGTGGTGGATGAGGAGCTGTACAAAACACCCCACGCTGAACGCGCCTCCCGCTCCCTGGGAGCCTGGTTTGCATCCTGGGAGGAGGGAAAAACGGGGTGGAAAAAGGACGGGCGCGAGGCAGAGCGTGCCGAGAGAGGGTGGGAAATACAAAAATTCTCCCGGTGAAAATCCAAAGTTTTGGGGTTTTTTTGTTTGGTGTTTTTTTTTTTTTTTTGCGTTTGTTTTAAAAAAATACAGTATTTGAAGGTGAAGCCACCAAACGGGCTCTGCCTCACGCGCCTCCCATCCCGGCCTCCTGGATGATCCGTCCCTGTAGAAAAAGGATATATACACACGCACCTCTCTATGACTAAAATCCCCATGTTTGACCTTAAAATGCTAGCGCACCCTGCGGCTCTGCTCGCGCGTGGCTCCGGTTTTGCACCCAGACTTGTGCTACACACACACACATCCCCTTTTTGGGGGGGGGGGGGGTCGACGTGTTGTTTGGCTGAACCATCGCCCCCCCCCCCTTTGGAAAGAATAGGAAAGGAAAGAGAAAGGAAGTCAGGGTGCACCACGTCGGGAACCGCGGCGCGGGCAGAGAACCGCTGCGGCGTCTATCGAGCAAGCTCTATATATAGGTACTTAAGAAGAGGAGGAAAAGCAGCAATGCAAACTCAACACATCTGAACAAGAAAGCTCCACGCTGGGATTGCCCCCCTCCTCCTCCTCCTCCTCCTGCTGCTGCTGCCCATCGGGCACCGGGGACAGAGCCGGGCAGGAGGATGGATGGGACCGTCCCCACGTCACTTGGCACAGCCGAGGCTCGGTTGTAGGCTTAGCACAGGAGAGCGGGCCACGGTCGGACTCGGCACCGTGGTCCCAAGTGAGAAACAGTCCGGCTACGGGGCGGGAGGCCACCCATGATGGGCACAGCGGGACCCCCAACAGCAGCAAGTATCAAAGAGGGGAGGAGAAAAACCAACAGCGGGCACGGCCGATCCTGCAGTCCTATTTACAGTGCACCGGGCCCCGGCCAGTCCAGTCCAGTCCAGCCTCTGGTGGCCTCAAAAAGCAGGTGACATTAAAAAACCCAACATGTGACGCACCCCCAGTGCTGCTGGCTTGTGCGAGGTGGGAAAGCTGGAGCTCGGGGTGGGAATAGAAAAGCTTCGGCAGCTGGGATGGGCAGGAGCTTCCCTGCTGCTGGAGTAGAAAACAGGCCAGGAGGGGTGGGTGAGCGGATGGATGGATGGATGGATGGATGGATGGACGGGGCGGGTTTTGGGGGGAAAAGTGTTGTTTAGGGTTGTTTGTTTTGTTGTTTTCTTTTTGCATTCGACAGTGCTGTGGCACCTCTGCTCCGCGGTGCTGCGGCACGAGCGATGGGAGTATTGCTGCTTGGAGAGGAGTCCCCGGGCTTTAGGAGCACGGGAGGTGCTGCTTGAGGATCTGTCTCGTCTGAGGAGCTATTCTGTCCGGGAAGCGGATTTTGAACTCCACGATCAAGTCTCCTCGCTGGCTGGGGGCCTTGGGGAAGGGCAGCCCTTCCCCGCGCAGTCTCTTCACTGTCCCCGGCTTGATGATGTCGTTGCAGGGCAGCGGGATCACCCGCCCGTCGATGGTGGGAATGTTCACGGTGCAGCCGCACAAGGCCTGTGGGGAGAAGAGCAGACAACGCCGTCAGGTGGGGCTGACACCCCAAAGCATCCCCGCACTGGGTGATCCCATCCCTTTGGGTCTCTCCTGGTGCCCCCCAACATGACGGGGATGGAAATGAAGCACGCTCCATCCCCACCTCCTGTGCTCCCAGGAGGAACAACCAGCGAGCGCCCCACCACTCGCAGCAACAGGACAGGCTAAATTTAGCCCCTTTCCCAGCCTCCGGCAGCCGAAAATCCAGCTGAGATCATCAGATGCCGCCGTGGTCCGTCAGCTGTCACCCCGCAGAGCAGCCCGGCAGCTCTGCCCCGTGCTGGGTTATCTATAGCACAGCCTCTGCGGCCTTTTCTCCCCGCAACAACAGCCACAAAAGGTTACACCGGTGTGAGGCAGCGCTGCAGCGCTCCTAGAAGCCAGAGGGAACGGTCCCTGTCACCAGTCCCTGGTGGTTTCATAGGATCAGGGGATGGTTTGGTCTGAAGGGGCCTTAAAGCTCACCCAGCCACGGGCAGGGTCACCTTCCACTAGAGCAGGTTGTTTGGGGGGCACCAGCCTGTTGTACCCCGGCAGCAGCCACCCTGCATCGGCGACACACGTGATGCAGGAATGCAGCAAGAAAACCCTCATGTCCTTAAATAACTCAGACAGCTCTGGCATACACGTAGGCAGGATCGTCTCCAGGCTCTCAGCAAGGGCTGAGGGAGAGATGCTTCTGGAAGAGGAAAGGAGGGGGGGTACCAGGAGCACATCCTTGAGATTCCAGGTGGGGGACTGGCCCTGGGGTCCCAGCCATCCCAGAACACCCTGCAAAGGGAGGGGAGGAGGATGCAGTGGCTATTTCTGGGGTAGATTGGGGAATGCTCTGCATTCCCATCGACAGGAAAAGCCTCCAGTGGCAAAGCAACAGGCACCAGGACAAACATTTCTTCCCATGCTGGCCATGGGCTCGGGGGGATGACGGATGCGGGCTCTGCAGCTGAGCCAGGGATCTGTAGCAGCTATCGCAGAGGGACCCATGCCAGAGCCTGCATGGCAAGCAGAGAGCAGGAGATGGGGCTGTCTCCTTGCACAGCTCATCTGCATTTGGTCTCCTCCTGGGAAGGGTGTCCTGCAGGAATGAGCTTTTCTGGCTGTGGGAGGATGGCTGTTTCCAGCTCCATGCAAGCAGTGGCGGCTTGGCTGATCTCCAGCAAGTAGAAGAAGGGGAAGAAAGGATGCTCTGCTCCATCAATGCACCACACAGGGATGCTGGAGCCCTCCTGCTCCCTGGTGCACACCGCCACCCACCGCAGAGGGATGCATGTGTCTGTGTGTGCCAGGGAAAGGACATCTCCAGCCACAAAGTGGGAAGGAGAACAGGAACTCGCTCCCTGTGGAGCACGTGGATGGGGCAAAGAGAGGGATGTGAGCAGGAGCGGGCGGTAACAGCGAAGGCAGACAGGATCTTAATGTTTCCTTCCTAGAGCCAAGATGCAAGAATCCCAGGCAATCACTCCTCCACCGTATGTCCCTGTTTTTAGTTCCTTCTTGCTCAACTCCTCTGGCATTTGGGAAACCGGTTGCTGAAGTAACCGCGGGAGCTGCCCCGCATCCTAGAAAGAGGCTGGGTTTATCCCTGGGGATGAAATCACCCTGGGTTTGGTAGCTGTGAGAGCAGAGCTTTATCTAGGTCAGCGCTGGGTCCTCCTCCGCTCCCAGCGGAGCTACTGGGGGGGGAACGTCAGCACCGGTTGTGCCCCAGCCATCCGGATGCTCTGAGGAAGGTGACGCCAGGTAAAGGATGCAGGCGTTAGGCAGCAAAGCCCCTGAGGTCTGCCTGCCAGGAGCAGTGTGATTTCTCCCTCCCCCGGCTTCCCACTGCGACACAAGCCTGGAGTTTTAGGAAGAGACGCTTCCTTGCAGTCCCTCATATACCTCTGGTAACCAGCCTGCACCACTGCAGTCCAATGGGGCCAGACTTGGGGGCTGGGAGAGCGCTGCACCCCTCAGTCACTCTCCAGAGGGTTCTGAAGATGGAGGAGGATGAGGAAGATGCTCTCCTGAGTGCCTAAGCACCACGGAGTTTGCTCCCTGTGGCAGCAGGGTGCTGGTGAAGGGTCTCCAGCACGGCCATGAGTGCAGGCTGGCACTGTGCTGTGCTCCTCTTGTGGCAGTGGAAGAGGCTTACAAGAACGAAGGATGCAAGGAGAGTAGCCAAGGCTATGGCTTGGTGATGAAGAGGCTGCATTCCATCACATTCTGAGGTTGGTGGCATACGGAGCTGGGAAGCTCCTGGCACCTGCTTGTGCTCCCGAGTACTTAAGGTTCTTCTCCTTATGGAAGATAAAAGCAGCAGAGTTATCACCCTACCCTGGCAAGCACAGGATGGGGATAGCAGCCAGGCTGGCAGCTCCCTGAGGATGCTGGGTTTGCGGTGGCGGAGGACAGAGACCACAAATTCTAGCTCAAAGAGGGGAGGAATTTGCCCAGACCAGCAATTTTCCACGTTGTAACTGCATTGTGCAAACCAAAGGCCATCACAACACGCCCTGCTCATCACAGGGATGAGCACCGTGGCTCCTGGTGCAGCAGCACGTGGAGCCAGAGCAGGTTCCTCCACTTGCTGCTCAAGGGACAACTCCAGGCAAGAGTCCCTCCAGCCTCAGCAGTGCATGAACCTGGGCTAACATCAGCACAGCCAGCTTGGGGTTAGTTCTACAGATAGATAGATAGGGGAATGCACAGAAGGAAATGTCTGAGATATGGCATGCTGGCTCCATAAATAAGGCAATCTCTCCTGAGTATGTCTGGAGCACCAGGGAAGCCAGCCACCACAGGAACAAACCTCTGCACTGCGAAGGACAGTTAGCTCCTGAGTCAAGATTAAACTTCAGCTTGAGTTCTTCCCAGGAGCACCAAGCTCTGCTTGACCTGCGTGGCTGCTCCTTTCCCCCAGAGCACCAGGTCACAGCCCCAGCAGGGACGCAGAGCCACGACAAAGCTCCTCTGACTCACTGGCGATGTTTCACAAGCTCATGTTTCCCTACCTCAGGTCTGGCCCATTGAGCTTATTTCTATGAAATGCATTTGAGAACATAAATCTGTCTCCTGGAAGAAAAGAAATCAGCTCATTAAGAAGACAGACAGCGTCTACAGTCTGAAAGGAACAGCAAATGGCAGCTGCACAAAACGTCAGTGTTAAGTGCAGCTGCCAGCTGGGATTTATTGAAAGGTACTTATAAAGCAGCAGTGGTGAATGGCACGTCTTGTGCCGGGTTAACCTGCCCTTCCTCTCCCACCTCACAGCAGTTTGCTGGCGCTGATGGATCCAGTCCCACCATGACCTGCAGGACCTGATATATGCTGAGTTTTGCTAACTGCCTAAGGCTTTGTTCATTTGGTTCTTTATGTAGGGGAGGCAGAACCAAGAAAAACAGGTAAAGAATTGCTCAGGGAGGGCAAGGTAGCTGTTCTTCACATGAAGAACATAGCTCTCTGTGCTATCCTGGACAGTAGCTAAGCCACAAGCAGGCTCAGCTGCGAGAACAAGCAGGGACCAGACTCATGCCAACCCAGGTTTTCCCTTGTTCCTACAGAGGATCTGGGCTCTCTTCCACATGTGAACACCCTCTGCTAAAATAGGAAGATGAGGCATATGGGGAAGGGTAACAACAAACAAATGCCACCTTGTACAGGCCCAAGGTGTGCTCAGCAGGGGCCACAGCACCTGTGTCCTACACCCAGCTGCTCTCTCCAGGTGTCTTTGCTTGTGTTTCCCAACCTACCTGGCCCTTCCTCATCGTTGCAGGAGAAGAAACAGCTCCTGTCTCGGTGCCAAGTGCCACGACCCAGAACCACCTCCCACCCCTCGGAATTTCCCACTCATACCCACCTCTTTAAGACTGATGTTTGCCGTGTAGACCACGTTCGTTCCATCCCTCTTGAAGTGCGAGTGAGGCTTGTCCTTGAGGATGAAGACGATGTCAGCAGGGATGTTGTCTGGGGTGGCATCCCCTTCTTTGGGGAATGTGATTTTGGTTCCCTCCTTCCAACCCCGTTTGATGACAATGTTTAGGATCTTGTCCTCAGTCCGCATGGTCCGGCCATCAGCATTGAGCCTTCTGCGCGTGATCTTCATCCTCTTGGTGGAGCCGTGGTAGATCTCTTCCAGGGACACCTTGAGCTCGTGGATGACCGGTGGGTCTTGGACCTTCCTGCGTGTGTGCAGGGACTCTTGGTGCCGCCGGTGAACCCCGTTGATGCCGTTGAAGCCAAACCGGCCGAAGGCACTGAAAGGGTCGTCGTCTTCATCGATGTCCATGTCTTCCTGGTCGAAGCCGTTGAATATTCGGGAGCGGCTGCTGGCGAAGAAGATGTCAAAAGGGTTGGAGCCTCCGAAGAAAGAGGCAAAGGTGGCATGGGGGTCTCCATGGAAGGTGTAGTGGAAAGTGTTCCCTGAGCCACCTGAAGAGCCACCTCCAGTTTTGAGACCTGGAAGAGAAAGGGGAAGACAACACATGAACGCTCTCTGCAAGCTGATGCCATGCTGGGACCGCACTTTCCAGGCAGGATCATGGTCTCTGCTGGCTCCGGGCAGACCTTCTAGTGTCTCCTAAGGCTGCAGGTCACCCACTCCAGCCAGCTGCAAAGAACATGGGGCAGGAAGGTACTCGCTTAACCCATGACAAACAAGCTCAAAACAAACTCACCAAGCTCAAAATCTGATCAGGTTTTGTCCCTGCTATCCCTACTGAAGTTCTTATTTGGTCATCTCCACCCAATTCATGCCCTTTACGCATTTCCTGACCATCCCATCTCCATTCTTCCCCATGGGCAGGCTCCCTTCTGTCCGAATTGTCCTGTCTTTTGGGCTGCACTGACGGCCACAGTCCAGGAGCATCACATCCTGTAGCTGAGAACAGCCTTTGAGCTCACGAGTGACCATGCAGAGTGACCTCGAGGTCAGCACACAGCTGCCTGCGTACAGACTGTACAAAACACCAGGTAAGCTCAAGGTTAGGATCCTTTTGCAACCATTCCCATGGGAAATTCCCCTGTCAGGTCCCAGGCTAAGCCTTACGCCACTGCAACTCCCCCAAGGTCCCAAGCAGCCAAGGCACATGGTAAGTGCCCCTCCAAAGAGGTCACACACGCTCTGTGAGGCTATTTTTGACCAGGAGGGTTGGGAAGGGTTAAGCCAAGCCTAGCTCTAGGACTATTTTCAGGGCACAACAGTGACAGTGATGGGACTATTTCTGACAGGCTGTTCCTTGTGCCAGATCCCCCCCATCCCTGCAATGGGGCAACTTTGGGGGTCTGATCGATGAAATTAATATTGTGGGTGCGTTAGGGGGGCTTTCGCTTCACCTTGCCCACCACATGGACGCAGAAGCCCTTCAAAATGCTGATCCCCAAGACATGTTGCTCCAAAAAATGTCACCTGATGGGGAATGAAAAGGTTTCCATGGGCCACGACACTGATGGAGCAAGAAGGGGGCTGCTCTTCCCTCCCTCCTTAACTCATTCTTTATTTTAGGTGTCTTCAGGTGATGGGGATTTCGCCGAATCCCCAGGGAGCCCCTGTCCCCTAACAGACTGTACAGCCAGGAGGTTTCACCTTTAATCCCATGACGCCAGCCCGAGCTGGGTCCGATTTCCTCGGCATTGCCTCTGGGGAAAGGCTGGTTTCCCACTTGAGGCAGCCTCTTCTCACTTTACAGGGTGGCAGATCACTGCGCCCGGTGCATCCATCACAGCCCTGACATAACTGACGGGTCAAAATTAACCCACTGCTGGTTAATTCTGCTGGTAGCTCATTAAGAGGATGCACCTGCCCTTTGACAGGGCTGCCTCTTCCACCCAGCAGCCTGTTGCTGCCAGACCTCCTGCTCTTTTAAGCACCCAAGTCCTGGGCTGATTAATGCAGATGCTATTCGGTGCTCTCCTCGAATGGGGTTGCGCTCTTCCATCTTCGACTAATAAGGCCGCCTGTGGTTGAGCGGCTCTTCTCCTCCTCCTCCTCCTCTGTGCCAACCACCAGACAACAGCAGCCACTTGGTTTCAAAACAAGGACCTATTACTTAAATTGGGAAAAGCTTTGAATACTGTAGGTCAGCCTGTACCAGGGAGGACAGCGGGACCAGTGCCCAAATGCGGGGAGAATGTGGACAAAAGCAACGCTCCTCTGCTAGGATATTTAGGTCAATTAAAGCGCCACTAACGAATTACCCCAGGTACCATCCAGGAGGTCAGGTGAACTCCTTCTACCTCCCTTGTCTCAGCTGGGTTTTGGGCAGAAGGCAGGGAGAGCCCTGCCATCCCAGGAAGCAGGGTGGAAAACCAGGGTGACCCGGAGAGAAACGGGATGAAAGAGGATTCCTGACACCTGTAGAGCCTTCACTGTCCCCAGTTCCAAGCTACCAGCCCCATTTTGGGTGCAGGCACGAACCCTCTGTGTGAAAAGCCTCCCTTGCCTACAAAACCCAATCTGGACCACCGCTCCTGCCTCCAAAGCAGGCAGTGCTTGACCACTTACCTTCCTCCCCATACTGGTCATAGACAGCTCGCTTCTTGGGGTCACTCAGGACATCGTAAGCCTCTGCGATCTCCTTGAACTTCTCCTCGGCGTTGGGGTCTTTATTCTTATCGGGGTGATACTTGAGGGCCATTTTCCGATAGGCTTTCTTGATTTCATCCTCGTTGGCACCGGTCTGGATGCCCAGGATCTTGTAATAGTCCTTCCCCATGACGGCGACGCTGCCGGGAGCCGAGTACTTATTCCTGAAAGCAGAAAGACAGCCCTGGGTAAGGCGAGCACCGCACTGGGCTCGGATGGGGATGGGACCCACACGCACTTATCACGGAGCTGGTGCTCCCTGCGTCCCAGCGGCCAGCAGCACCACAAGTCCACGCTTCCCAATGGAGGTCAGAGCCCTGGTGCCAAGATGTGTCCCGGCTCCACCTGTAACCCTCTGAGCCCTAAGGCAGGGACAGGGACACTCATCTCTGAGGCTGAAGGGAGTAGGGAGAGCCTGAAACAGGGCATGGCGTTATAAAGGCCACGCCACTGCTCACGTCAGGCCGGGATCATGTCCTCCCCCTGCCCCTGGGTGGGCCCAGAGGGCTGAGCTATGCCTATATGTAGCCAGCAGCCCGTGTGTGTCCCCTCCTCTCCCAGCCAGGGAGCTGGGATGGGAGCTGGGGTGGTAACAGCAGGGCTTTGGAGGCTGAAAGCAGCGGCAGAGACCACGCTGCCGCCTTCACCTTAAAGGAACTTCAAACATTTTGTTCTTGAAAGCAATTGGCATTCAGCTAGAGATAAATGCCTCCGGCTGTCAGAGCCATAATTTGTATTTAGTGAAGAGGGAACGGAGCCGTTAGACAGAAACATCTTGTGGTGGTGGGAGGGCTTTTTTTTTTAATTTTTTTATTTTTTGTTTGAAAAAAAAAAGAAAAAGGGAAAAAAAAAATTCCCCACCAGTTTCTCTCCTGACTTGCACTCCCCGAGAGCCTCCAACTGCATCTCGCAGAGAGCCAGAAGCACAGGGCTCACTCGCTCCATCACGCGGGGGCCGAGGCTGGGGCCATGCCTATACTAAGGCATGGAAAATCCAGTGGCCGTAATTCATTCCCCAGCCACGCTGCTGAGACAGAGTGAGCAGAGACCCAGCGAGCAATGGGGAGGGCAGAGGCTGAGCGAACCCCACACTCCTACAAGGCCAATTCCTGCTGCTTCTCGACCTTGGGTTATCTGACCGAACTCCAGACACCCTGAGCACGGCCTGATCCTCCCTCACAACTCAGTGGTTGCTGCGTGCCCGCCTCCTCTCCCATCAGACCTCCTCCCCCATTAAAGCCTTCCTGCTCACATCTAGCTCCTTGCTACCACCCAGGTTTCACTCCATCCTTGCTCCAAACACCCCTGGGCAGCCTCAACCCATCACGACCGCCCCCCTGCAGACGGATCTCCGCATGGGGTGTGAGCCTTGATCCTGTCCTTCACCACCATACAAGCTGCCAGATGTTCTCCCCCATCCTTAAGCACCCATGGAGGTCACAGAGGGATCTTCCAATCACAGAAGCTCAGATGTGAGTGGCCAGGGCCACCACAGCACTGCATTGAGCCCCCAGCGTTCACCCACGGGTGGCCTTGGGTCATGCCATGGGCAATCACCCCTTTACAGATGGGTGTCTGAAGAGGGGTTGGAAATTGACCCCACAACCAGACTGCCAGCCTCTGGGGCAAGTAACTGCTCCCGGCACGGAGCGGGTGCTTTGCTGTAGATGGGAAGGGAGCAAAGGCAGGCAAGGCACAGATCTCTGGAGGACACAGTGAGGTGAGATAAGGGCACCCACGGATTTGTGTGGCACAGAAGAGGTGGGAGAAGGTCCCCGTGGGTGTAAAGAGCATCCGACAGCGTCTCCCACTGCAGCTCCTGCGCAGAGCCGCCGGCGGCTCCATCCCACGCAGGCGCTGGGGGATGCTCTGCCCTCGGTCCACCTCGGCTCTCTTCTGCCCTTCCCATGGGAACAGGCTGCACAATACCCAGGGATGAGCAACAGGAGGGGGACTGAGGATAACCTGCCATTGTCCCCACCAAAGGTCACTCCAATGCAGCCCTTGGTGTTGGCAGGGGCTCCCCATGACCAGCACCAGCACCTGGACGAGGATTCTCCCATCTGGATGATGCACTGAGGACAACCCCATCGCACACTGGCTTGAGAGACGCACACCACAGCACCCAGCTCCAGATCCAACCCCACACAGCCCAATCCAACAGCACCACCAGCACCCCCCTCACCCAGCCACAACCCCACGGCGCTTCCCAAGAAAGCATCTCCTATCCCGGCACAACGCTGTTGCCCCCTCCAGAATCCCCTGTCCTGCCCACCGAGGGGTCTTTGGCTGGGGTGGGGATGCAGCCAGGGATGCTTTCCTGGCCGGGGATCCCTTTGTGTGGCTCTGCTCACGGAGGGTGGGATTTGCTGTCCCGAAACATCCCCCCATGCATGCTTTACCGTGAGGAGCTGGCGGCAGGTGACCCGGTGGGTTAAGACAACGCTCCGGAGGCGACGCTCACATGTGCGATGATGATGATGATAAAACACGACTCTGTCCCCGCACAGCTTCCCTCCCACCTCCCTGGGATCAGCTGCGCCTTGCCACGGCTCCTCTCCCCCTTCTGCTCAGTCATCTGCCTTCCCATTTAACCCCCTCAGGAGCGGGGTTGGTGGTGGAGAGATGGGGGGGGGTGATGGTGGTGAAGGAAGGCAGGTAAAAAAGCCATTCCCGCATCACCCACCCAACAAACCCACACCTGGTAGGAGGACACAAGCATCCTCTGCCCCGCCCTGGGGAACCAGCCTGGCCTTCATCCCCCTCCTGTCACCGCACACATGGACCCGAAATGAAATAATTAAGTCAGAAACAGCGGCTTTGTTCCATCCCTGCACATGACATCAGCTGAATAGCGATCCCTTGACATAATCCCTGTGCCCGGCAGTCCCCGCTGGAGGGATGAGGCTCACCCTGGGCAGCGGCACCGGGAAGGGGAGCTGTGCTTTGTGTCCGTGTGTCCATCCCGGGGAGCAAGGTCACGGCAGGACGCGCGGTGCGGGGGCAGGAACCCACTTACCGAAACTTGACGAACACGTTCATAGTCCAAGCCGACCTTTTCAAAGGCTCTAGTTTGATTTTAAACATCCCCGTTGTCCACAGGTGCCCCGGGAGACGGTGGAGAGTTGCCAGGAATGCCACACGGAAGGATGCTCCGGTGGCCGGATCCCTCCGGCACAGCAGAAAGGCAACGGTCAGCACCCGGGATGGCTCCGAAAGGGCTTTAGGTGGTGATGGGTGAGCGGGTGCCGGGTGGATGCTGCTGGGAGCTGCCGTCCTTTGTCACACACGCACGGGGACACCCTTCAATGGAGTCGCTCGCCGTAATCTTCCTTTTAATTGGCTTCTTGACGCTTCCTCAGCTCCAGCATCCTCCCTCCCCACTGCCTCCCGGCCGCCCCGCTCCTGTCACACACGTCCCCCGGTACTGTCACGTCCCCGTTACCGTTACCAAGGAGCAGGGAGGGAGCGCACCCAGGAGCTCCCCCCTCCTCGGTGTCCCCAGAAAGGACTCTGCTCTGCACCCAAAAGTAGGACGGCAGCGGCGGCAAGGCGATGCAATGTGTTAGAAAGTCACATTGACCGGGTTGCACCTCCCCAGCTTTCCCCCTGCGGATCCCCGCGACACCGGTGCCCCACAGAAGGGGTCCCAGCACCCGGTGAATGGGGCTCCCGGTGCAGCGTGGCACCGGGATGGAGCCGGGTCCGAGCACGGAGCCGAGCGGCGGCACAAAACCTACTTCTGAGAAGTCACCTTCAGGCGCGCCAAGGAAATCCAACGGCACCGCATCCCCCCATCACTCACCAGCCACTAAGAGCATCCCCTCCGGATGCCCCACAATGGAATCAGGCAGCCGTGCCGGGCAGCTCCTGCACCCTACCCTCATCAAGCACAACACCGCATCCCATTGGAATAGGGGTGTCTGGTGGTGGGAGCCGGGATGGATGAGCCGGGATGGATGAGTGCATACCTCTCGGCGCGGCTCCAGAAGAGCAGGATGGCCGGCATGGCAGCGTATCCCGGGTTCAGTCAGGGATGCCGGCGGGGATGCGGGACGGGATGCGGGATGGGATGCAGTGTGTCGGGGCAGGCAGAGCCACCCGTGCCCGTGCTGGCTGGCAGCCGCAGGCAGCAATGTCATGACTACCCGCAATGAATCATCCCCTCCCCGGGCCCCCACACACAGTGCCCGCCCCCCCCCCCCCCTCCGCCCCACCACAGCCCCACTGGGGTGCGGGCACCTGCGTGGGGATGGGGTTAACCCTCCCCTCGCTGCCTCTGCTCTGCCTCACAGCCCCCACCGGCAGCCCCCGGCGTGGGGAGAACGGGGCAAGACCCCCCCTGATGTCTCCCCATAGAGGGTCCCACATTCCCATGCCCACTCCAAGACACGCGTGCTGTCATCCCCCCAACTCCAGGCATGGTCTCCCATTCCCAGCCCTACACGGTGCTGGGTGGTGATGGGGTCAAGCCCCCCCCCCACTTTGCTGCTTCCCCATGTGGGTCTCCCCCTTTTCAGCCCCCAGTGAGGTCAAGCACCCTTCAACACCTCTCCATACAGGATTCCCCCTTTCCAGCCCTATGGTGCTGGGTCCTGGGTTGGGATGGGGTCAAGCCCCCTCCCCAGTGTCTCCCATGTAGGATCCCAGCCCCACTGGGGTACTCACACCAGTGTGGGGATGGGGTTAAGCCCCCCTCAATGTCTCTCCATATCAGTGTCCAACATTTCCACCCCCTCAGTGTGTGTCCACCCCCCAGTGCAGGATCCCAGCCCCACAGTGGTGTGGGGACAAGGTCAAGCCCCACGTGCTGCCTCCCAATATGGGGTACCCCTTTCTAGCCCCACCACAGTATGTGGGGAGGGGGTTAAACCCCCTCATTGCTTACTCTGAGCCCCCTGTGAAGCCCCAGTGGGGGAGCTAAGACTTGTGTGTGGATGGGGATAAGCCCCACTACAGCCCCCCAGGCGGTGCCCCATTTAGGGGTGACCCATATAGGAGCATGGTGAGAGGTTGTTACCTATATGGGAAGGGGTTCACCCCTCTGCTGTGCCTCAGCCCCACCGGTTAACCCTTTCCTGCCGCTCTCCTGGGGGATGCTGTCACCTCCACTGGGGACAGGGGTTAACCCCTTCCTTGCTGACTCTGTCATTGTCACTTGGGGGCTGCAGGGGGTGTTCATCCACTTCACCTGCCAGCTCAGCCCCACTGGGACACACTGGTACCCCCGATGTGAAGGGAAGGGGTGGCGGTGGGGTTAACCCCTTCCTGCCCACACCACACGGCTCCAACTGGACACATTACCCCCTCCAAAGCGGGACGGGACAGAGGGGTCAGCCCTCACCTCAGGGTCCTCTCCAGCCCCATAAGGCTGCTCTGTAGCCCCATGGAGGGGAGGGATTAACCCCTTTCTGCCTAACTTGAATGCTCTGTTAGGGGGCAAAGGGATGAACCCCTTGTTCTCACCCCCTTCAGACCCATGGAGACATGCTGTCATTACGTAGGGCTCCACAGCTAACCCCGACCCACAGCCCCAGCAGGTAACCCTGCCACCCCATGGGGGCAAAGGCACCAGTCCCCTCTTACCCTGTCTTCACCCCACAAGGACACCCTGCTACCTTATGGGGACAAAAGGGCTAATGGCTAGCCCCTGTTCCCCCCCTCCCCCCATGAAGGGATATAGGGGCTCACCTTCCCTGCAGAGCCCCACAGCAAAACCCAGGCACCCCATGGGGTAGGATGATTTACCCCCATGGGGTAGGAGGATTGACCCCAGCCTCACCAGTTACTCCGTGGGGCAAAGGGACTGTCCCCCCGACCCCAAAGGGACAGAGTGTCACCTTATGGTGCAGAGGGGCTGCCCCCCGGCCCCTACAGCAACACCCTGACACCCCGTGGGGCAGAGATGGAGTGAGCCCCACAGCAACACTGTCACCCCACGGGGCAAGGGGTCTGACCCCTTAGTGACATCCTGTCACTGCATGGGGCAGAGCCACCGACCCACAGCCCCACAGCAACAACCTATCACCCTATGGCACAGCGAGGCTGACCCCCAGCCCCACAGCAGCACCCTGGCTCACCCCACAGGGGAGGGGTCCTGACACCACAGTGACAACCAGTCACCCCATGGCGCAGGAAGACTGACCCCCATCCCTATAGAGACACCCTGTCACTCTATGGGGCAGACTGACTGAGCCCCACAGGGCAGGGGGGCTCACCCCCTGTACCCCCACAGCAACACCCTATCACCCCTCGGCGCAGAGACACTGACCCCCAGCCCCATAGCGACATTCTGTCACCCTAGGGGGTAGGAGCACTGACCCCCTTTAACCCCACACCGACTCCCTGTCACCCACCGGGGCGGGGGCACTGACCCGCAGCGGGCTGAGGGCCCGCGCCACGGTGTGGGGCGGGGCGGTGTGGGGCTCTATGGAGCGGCTGTGGGGCGGTGTGGGGCAGGGGGGGGCAGCGCTGTGGGGCGGTGTGGGGCAGGGCCGCCCCCGGCACTCACCGCTCGCGCTGTCCCGGGGCGCCGTGCGCTCGCTGAGCCGCCCCCCCCCGCCCCATCCCAACCCTCGCTATCTAGCTCCCCCCCTCTCCGCCAATCCCCACCCTCCGCTCTCCCGCCTCCGCCCTCTACGTCAGGGGAGTCCCGCCCACGCTCGCCACGCCCCGTTGGGCCGGCGGTGTGTCCGTCACCGTGTAGTGCCGCCTCTCATTGGCTATTCCCTGGCAGGGGGCGGGGCCAAGAGGGAGGGTTGGAAGCCAGACCTAACCCTTTACCCGCCCTTTTCACCCCGCCTCCTTAATACCGGTTCCTATTGGTCCATTCAAGCCGGCACCTCCCCTTTGGCGCTCTCTCATTGGCCAGGCGCTCTGGTTAGGAGCGGCGGGGTCTCTGGGGGAATGTTCTGGAAGGGTGTGACGTCAGCGGGGCGGGGATTCTCACGGGCCGGTCCCGCCCGCGGGTGAGGCAAGGGAAGGGAAGGGAATGGGACGGGATCGGATCGGGACACCGGGAACGGGACCCGGAAAGGGAGCAGGGAGCGGCCTGGGGCGGGCAGGGGGAGTCCCAAGGGGAGGACACAGTGGCGGAGGGGGGAGATGAGCGACCCCTGCCCCTCAGGCCGCTGCCTGGCCAGGCACCCAACATGGCGGAGCGGGGCTGAGGTGATGTGGGGATGGCGCTGCCCCTCGATTGAGCCCCGGCACAAGGGCCCTTCCCAGGGCCGTGTGGTTTGGATCTCGCCCTCTGAATATCCCCCCCCCTTGGTCTTCCCAGTGTCCTGGCCCTGGTTAAGCATCGTGTTGGAGGGGGTGTGTGGAGACCCTATCCTGGATTTTGCGCTATAAACGCAGCACATGAACAAGCCCGTGTCTTCCCCCCCATTGAGGTACTGTGTTGGTGCAGAGCAATGGGCCCTCTCCTGCCTGCAGGCCTGTACCGGTCGCAGGGAAAGGTGCTGTATGTGCTGCAGCTGCTGGTGAGCAGTTGGAGCCATGTTTGTCATCATCACAAGGTGCTCCTGTCACCACTGTCATCATCCCCTCACTGGGGAGGTGTTAGGGTGGGCTCTGACTCACAGACAGGCCTTCCCCCGTGGGCTGGTCACAAGTGTTGTCCTCTCCTGGGATGGAGGCACAGCATCGTGGAATGGTTTGGGTTGAAAGGACCTTGAGATCACCCAGTTCCAACCCCTCTGCCTATCTGTGACTGTCCAGAAGCATGCGGGCGCCTTTTTTCCCCCCACTGAACTCTGTGGAGCCTTTCTGTGCTGGGAGGGTTGTAGGTCTCACAGTGTGCCCCCTCAGCAGCTGAGTCACGCTGACACCAGACCAGCACTCCCTGTTCCCCGTCTGTTTCATTGTCTGTGTGCCTGGCGTGCGCAGTCATGCCAATTCCTTGCCTTGCAAATGCTTTTTGTTCAAGCCTTTCATCGCAGGGTTATGGAGGCCCTGGGGCAGGGGAGCTGGTGTTGTGCTCACAAATGATCTGCTTCGTGTGCAGCTGCCTGGGCACAAACAAGGGCTTTGGTCCAGTGGGTGGATGCAGCCCCAGCACTGGGGCACGGCAGGGTCAGGGCAGACCACAGCCTGCCTTAACCAGAACTGTTCTTCCTTCGCAGCCCGTATGCCTGCCGGCGCTTCCGCACCCTTGTAAAGGCACGCCGGGAAAGTGGCAGGAATAATTAAAGGTACGAAGCCGTTTCCATAGAAGGAACAATTACATAAACGGGCTGTCTTCCGTCTGGGGGAAGAGATGACTGAGGGAGGCATGACAGGGAATGATAAAACGCTGTGTGGCAGGGGGAAAGCGAGCAGGGAAGGGTTGCTTCCAGGAATGGGGAGTCTCATGCCAGAAGAGATGTGTTGCTCCATCCCTGGCAGTGTCCAAGGCCAGGTTGGATGGAGCTTGGAGCAACCTGGTCTAGTAGAATGTGTCCTTGCACGTGGCAGGTGATTGGAACTAGATGAGCTTTAGGGTCCTTTCCAGCCCAAACTGTTCCGTGATTCTATGATTCTATGAGGCAGTGACCCCTCACAGAGAGTGTGTTTTGTGAAGCAGTTGGGATTGACCTGTGGAAGTGGCAGCCTTGTGGGGAGGGATGGAGGGAAGAATTGAGAAACGCTCAGAAGGCAATTAAGCAAAATGCTGAGAAGAGAAATCCACTGCGGGCTGGTGAGCCCAGTGCTGGTGGTTCTGCTGTGGGCAGAGTCCACGAGTGAGCAACACCGTGTGTTCCCCTGGAGCTTCAGCTCTTCCCGAGGCTCTGGCTGTGGGTCTCTGTCCCGGAGAGGATGCCAGGGCAGGGAATCACATCCTGGGCTGTTCTTCTGTTCAAACATCATTACCCGGTGTCTGAAGGTGAAGCAGTGGGGAAGGCCACCAACTACAGAAACCTCCTACCTGAGCACCA